ATAATTGTGAAGAAGCCAGGATGTTATCAGAGCAGGTGACAGATGGATCCAGACTGAGGGTCTGGCAGGGTTTCACTAAGAAGGTGAGGTCTGAGCTGAAGTGGCTAGCCTGGCCTCACCCTTCTCTGAATCCCTGATACTCGAATCCTGACCCCAAACCAGGCAAAGAGAAGATTTAAATCCCTCTAAATTTTCCATCCACTTATTCACCAGCCCAGTTATTTATTTGCCCATCTATCCATCCACTTATCCTCCCACCCACCCACACATTCCTCCATTTATCATCCATCCATTCATTCATCCATCCGCCCATCCATACGTCCTTCTGTCCGTCGACACAGCCATCTACTTACCCATCTACTAATCCATCCATCCATCCATCCTTCTCTCCTCTCATCTACACATTCATCTGCCTGTCTACCCATGTACCTATTCATTTATTCGTTCTTCTAGCCATGCTTCTCTCCATCCATCTACACATTCATCCATCCATTCATCTATTCAACCATCCATCCATTCATTCATCTACACATCTATCCATCCATTCTTTATCAACCCATCCACCAACACATGTGTATTGAGCTCCTCTATGGACCATACCCCATGTTGGTGAGCGAACATGGAGTTCAACTCCGGCTTAGGTGGCACTGCTCCTAGTGCAGCTGGCTCCCTTCTCGCCCACAGTCACAATCCCCACCCATGATGCAGAAGAGGATAGCCACCTGCAGATGAACAAGATCCGGGCTCAGCTCATCGGAGCCTTCAAGGAGCAGATGGAGATGCGGCACAGCCTGGTAGAGCTTGAGAATACCAACATCGAGCTGCACATCGACATGTCCCGCCACCTGCTGACCATTGCAGAGTGAGTGTGCCTGCCCTCTGGGCACCACCCAGGGCCATCCCAACAGGGCAGGGTAAGCCCACAAGGAGCAGAAGGTACCACTGGTGGGAGCGTATTTTTTGCGACTACACAGCCACCCTCTACTGCCTGCAAGGGACTTTAGCCAAGGGTATCCTCTCTTCCCAGGCCAGACTCCTGACCCCAGTCCTCCCCTGCTCTTCTGCTCCTGTAGCTAAGCTGGGCCATGTGGGAGAAGCTTTCACATCTTTTTGATGTCAGGCTGGAGTCTAGAACCAACCCTGGTGGGTCAGCTAGGATCAACCTCATTTATGAAAGAGGATATTGAAGCTCAGAGGAGATGTGGGTTTGGCCAAGGCTACATATCTCCTAGGCCAGGTCTCTCTCCCATCGCACACTCCCTCTCTATTCATACCGCCTGAGGATAGAGTGACCATGTACAGAGACTGACCATGCAATTTATAATTCACACCAGCATGCATTTGGGGTGAAAGGGGGTACCATTAACAATTACACTGGAACATCAGGTGTTCCCTGGGACTGCACTGGATGAGCTAGGACACATGGCCACCCACTTACAGATAACTTAAAACTTAGTGCTGTGATTTAAGCCCATTTTTTCTCCTTTGCCCTCTGCTCCCACATCTCCCCACATTTCTTCTCTTCCTCCTCCTCCTTCCTTTCTGTTTCTTTTCTTTTTTTTTTTAAATTACACAAATAGCATGAGACTTACATTAGAGGAATTCTAAATAAAACAAAATATGCTCACAGTCTCATCCATTTCCAGCCAAATCTGTTTGCCCTTGCTCCCTCCATCCTCCTTTTATGCACGTTCCATGGGATCCCTGTGGTCATTTAGATTCGATCTGGTACCCTCATCGCAGAGCCGTGGGTTATTCAGTTAATCCGCAGAGCCTCAGGGCATACAGGCTGCGGTCTCCCAGCTTTACAGCTGGGAAAACCAAGGCTCAGAATGGATACATTTGCATAGGAGGTGGTTCAAGGTCACCCAGCTGGCCAAGGGCAGTTCTGGAGTCGGATGCTGGGTGGGCTGGAAAAAACACACACACACACACACACGGGTACTTCAAAAAGTTCTTGGAAAGATTCATATTATTTTTTTAATTCTATATTTCCATGAACTTTTTGAAGTACCCTTCTGTGTACATATATAGAAGAGATCATATCACATATCTAATTCTGTCCATTTTTATGCCATGCCTGTGAGTAGACAAACCGGGGCCAAAAGGGACTCTAGGACTGGAGGTGTCAGGACTCCAGTAAGTCCTGGGCGTGGCTTGCACTCTGACCTCTCTGTTGTGGCTACAGCTGGGAGCGGGAGAAGACCCACCACCACGTGCACAGGGGTAGGGGTGAGCCCGAGAAGGACGAAGAGCTGGTCGACGCTGATGGGGAAGAGGGCGAGTCCGTGGAACCACACGAGGTGGCCCTAGCCAGAGAGGAGGTCAACATGCTGTTAGCCGAGCAGCGGAAAACTGCGGACCTCAAGGTGGGGGAGCGGGACTCAGCACGTTTACAGTTGCAACAATAGTGACGAGTCACTAACACTGATCGCTGACGGTGTGGTCCCTTGGTGCGCACTAGCTCATCTCACAGAGTAGGGCCAATCATGACAATTTTATAGAAGAGGAAAATGGAAGCTCAGAGAGGTTAAGAGGTTAGGTAAGTTGTCCCAAATCCCCAGAGGGCTGGTGGAGCAGAGCTGAGGCCTGACCTGGGTCTGACTCCAAAGCCCGTGGCCCTTTGCATTGGAGTTACAGCTACACCAGGGGGTTGCAGGGGCCAGTGTGCAGGGCAGGAGGCCAGTGATGTGGAAAAAGGGTGTGAGCAGCAGGGAGATGTTCACTGAGACCCCAGCCTTCCTCACCTTCTGGATGACACCTGGAATGGCAAAGCCTTCAGCTCCTGTGAGATCCCCCCTGTGGAGCAAGGGGATTTCCATTGGCATCTTGCTCAGTCCTGCCCCCAATTCTGGTCTCGGGCATGTCATGCAAAGGGACATGCCAGAGGAAGCCCACACTCAAGGCTCCTCTCTGGAGAAGTAAGTCTTTACACAATTTTTGTTTTCTGAGAGGAGCTAGCTATTTATATGAACTATTTGTGTAATAGCTAGTTATCTAATAGTCTCACTTCAGAAAAATTACAGAGCTGGTGCTTGATAGAGACTTTGGGGAAAATGCCGGGGAAGCTGGATACTATTTCAGCCCATTAGTTAAATGTTTGCAGGTGTAATTTCAGGCAATTGCAAAAAGTGTCTGATGATGTCATGTTGTTAAAAGAGGGGGAAGCATTTATTTCACTTAAAAGCTATGTAGCCAAACCAAAAGCCTCTTAATATTACTGCATCTGCCTGCGGCAATTTGGAAATTATGTGATTTCACTTCCAAAGTCCTCAGACCTTTAAAAATATGAAAAATACCTCTTGCTTGAATTAGTAAAGTACATCAATAAGAGAGCATGACCTTCAAGAGCCAAATGTAGGTATTGATATGCAATGTAGCATGAAAATGAGGAGCCTGTTAATTAGTTAACAATTAATCAAAAACAAATCAATGTTTTAAGTGTCCAAAGGACATAAAGATGAACGAGACACCCTCTATGACTTGAGCTCACAATCTAATTGGAAGAGACACAAACACAATTATCTGTAATTCAATATGGTAGCTTAGTAATAGTCATAGGGACAGGATGCTAGGGAGCTGGATGAGGGGGATATTAATTCAGCCAGGGACTTGGGGAGGACTGTAGAGAGAAGGCCACATCGGAACCGTGCCTTGAAGAGGAGAATAGGATCTTGCTAGTGGAGCTGAGCCAACTCCTTCCAGGTGGTCCCCTGTGAACCCCAGACGAAGAAGGAGAAGGTAGCCAGAGTGCATCCTCCTCAGCCACACTGGAAATCGCTGTCCAACCCATTCCTGGGGGTTGTGATTCTGGAGATGGCCTTGCGAGGCAGGTTTGGCTGGAGCATTACTGTCTGGGGGCCATGTAATGGAATGATAGTTACTTTGATGTGTCAACTTGACCAGGCTATAGGACCCAGAGATTCAGTCAAACACTAATCTAGGTGTTGCTGTGAAGGTCTTTTGCAGGTGTGGTTAACATCTACAATCAGTTGACTTTAAGTACATATGTACATATACATATACAAACACATATAAAAACATATATCTATACCTATATGTCTATCTCCTGTTGGTTCTGTTTCTCTGGAGAACTGGTAGGTACATAGAGTAAGGTTACAGGGTCCCAGGCAGATCTCACAGGGCTCCCACCTGCTTTCCACAAGGTGGTGAGCAGTCCCCAGTGGCGTGTGATGGATGCTCTGGGCCTCAACTCTGCCTGCTTCTTCTGATGCTCATGCTTGGCTTGAGAGATTCAGGACCTCAGTTGCAGCAAGAGGTTTGTAATATGGTGGATGTAGAAGATGCTCCTTCACAGAATACTCTGTAAGGACCTGGAAATGGCTTATGAAGGATTCATAGTGTGAAAATGGGCAGTGCTGGTTTCCCATAGCAGACATGTAGGGGTGTGCTGAAGGGTGAGCTCTCAGTCTATGCTCCAAACTGTAGTGTGTTTATAGAAAACTTGAGGTTCGGTGAGGGCAACAGTTCAGGAGACAGTTGCCATTGAAAAGATAGTTTGTTACTCACAGTTCCCAAGAGGAGGGGCCTGCCACCCCACACCACACCATGAAGGTTCACATGGGAAGCACTGGGTCCGTCAGGAGGCAGGAGTGAAGAGAAAGCATGCAAGAGCCTTTATTGTGGTTTCTCTGCAGGAAGGAGCAGGTAAGACAGGGTAACTAGGCCTAGGAACAGATGGTTGAATAATTTCAGCAGGCTATGAGGCCTGGGTGTTTGGTACCTGGCCCTGGGGTGATTAGGGCAGGTGGATAGTGTCCTAGAGCGCTACAGCCCCATAGAGGAGGTGGTAGGGTATTGGCTCTGGATTGGTTGGTTTCCACTTGAAAAGCATACTCACAGGTGAGTTGTTTGCTGTCTCTAGGAACTGGCTAACCCTGGGAGGAGCAGTCTTTCCAAGGTTAGCAAGTCCCTGATGGCAAAGCATCAGATACAGAAAAGAGAAGATGTGATTAGTACAGGGTGATGGCAGCACACCCTCAGAGCCCATCACCTGCGTGTTTTCCCCAAGTACAATTTGCAAGTGTAGGCCCATAAGAATGATCAGGTGTGGGCCAGCAGAGCCCCCTCACGTCTTCCCTGGACTCTCGGTTTCTCTGCCAGGCTGGGCTGGAGCAGCGCCTGGCCAATGCCAAGCAGAAGGCCTCACAGATGGAGAAGCTGCTGCCCAAGCAGGTCACCAGCGAGGACCAGCGGGAGGTTCTGCGGCTGCTGTGCAGAGCCCACAAGCTGGAGGTGGAGAACACGGAGCTGCAGGCCAACAACCTGTGCCAGAAGAACCTGCTCTGCCAGAAGGACTTTGTGATCCAGCGCTACCACCAGCACCGGCTGCTCTGTGAGCAGGTCATCCAGGAGCAGCGGCAGCTGATACAGGGTGAGGCCAGCCCCACTGGCCCTGCCGGGGATACTGGTGTTTATCGTTGCTATTTTCTGCAACGAGTAGGCTGTGCACATGATTTAAAAAATCGGATAGTCCAAATTGGCATAGCATAGACACCAGTCTCCTTTCTATCCAGATCTCGCCCTCAGCCCACTGTTGCCAGCTCCCTGTACATCCTTCCCTAGACAGGCTATGCAATATGAACAGGTTTTTTACACTGACAGAAGCATGCCATCCACGCTGACCGGGGCTTTGCTTTGTTCTGCACTGCCAGTGTATCCTAGAAATTGTTTTATAAGAGTATAGTGAGATTGGCCTTGTCTGTAGAAATGCCTATAATTTCTTAACTGTCCCTATGGATGAACATCGAGTTTTGGGGGGTCTTGTGTTCCCATGACCTGCCCCTTCGTTGCCTCCTCTTCAGTCTTCATGCCTGTATGTGGTGGGCAACCCTACTCCGGGCAGCACGGCTACACCTCTTCCTTTCTCTCGTTGTTGTCTAGCTTCTGCCGCATGTTTTCATTTTTCTTTTTTTCCCTTTTTGTCTTTTTTCGTGTCCGGCAACGGATCACAACCCTCAGTGTTGCACCCGTACCAGACCGGGACCGGCAACGGGATCGCAACCCTCGGTGCTGCGCCCACACATCGCTCAGCCAGTGAGCGGGAACCGGTCTGTATGTGGGATCCGAACCCTCGGCAGGAGCGCCGCCGCACTCCCAAGCGGCGCACTGTAGCAGTGTGCCACCGGGCCAGCCCTTCATTTTTCTTTTTTAGCTTTTTATTGTGACATAATTGGAGACTTACAGAAAAGGTGCAAGAATGGTACAAAGAACTGCTCCAGATTGCCAAATAGTATTTTTTACTTTAAGTTTACATTCTCTCTTGCTTTGTCTCTGAAAATACTTTTTGGATTCCCTTAAACACTTTAGGGTACATTTTCTAAAAATGAAGACATTTTCTTACATGACCACAGAATATCAACACTGATCCTTACCACTGATCTGCACACCTCATTCTAGTCTTGCCTATTGTCCCATTAACGTACTCTACAGCAAAGGAAAATCCTGGGTCCCCCATTGTATTCAATCGTCATGTCCTGTGATTTCTTAATTCACTGGTGATCCAACAACTGCTTCCCATGATGACAGGAGGGCTGCCTTGTGCTAGGTTACTGTCAGCAGAAGAAAAGGACACTTCTGTGGGGCACATGCTCCATTGGGCTCTGCGTAAGACTGGGTGTGGGGTGGGGGAACCACCATGATGGACACCCTGTGTAGCTATAATTTTGTAGCCATTAACCAACCTCTCTTTATCTCCCCTCCCCACTTCCCCTGCCCAGACTCTAATAACCAAAATTCTACTCTGCACTTCTATGAGATCAGATTTTTTAGCTTCCACATTTGAGAGAGAACCTGTGGTATTTGTCTTTCTGTGCCTAACTTATTTCACTTAACATGATATCCTCCAGGCTCATCCATGTTGCTGTAAATGACTGGATTTCATTCTTTTTTATGGCTGAATAGTACTCCATTGTGTATACTTACCCTGTTTTCTTCATGCATTCATCTTTTGGCAGGCACATACATTGATTCCATATCTTGGCTATTTTGAATGATGCTGCAGTAAAGATGGGTGTACAGACATCTCTTTGATGCACTGATCCCTTTGGATATATACCCAGTAGTGGGATTCCTGGACCATATGGTAGTTCTATTTTTAGCTTTTTGAGGGACCTCTATACTGTTTTCCATAAGGGCTGTGCCAGTTTACATTCCCACCAACAGTGTCCTTTTCTCCGTATCCTTACCAGCATTTGTTATTTTTTTACTTTTTTTCTTTCTTTCTTTTTTTTTTTTTTTTAAAAGATGACTGGTAAGGGGACCTTAACCCTTGACTTGGTGTTGTCAGCACCATGCTCTCCCAAGTGAGCTAACCAGCCATCCCTATAAAGGGATCCAAACCCATGGCCTTGTTGTTATCAGCACTACCCTCTCCCAAGTGAGCCATGGGCCAGCCCCTTTTTTTTTTTTTTTTTTTTTTTTTTTT